CAGATGAGTCAAAACTGTGCTCTGAGTTTCCTCACTCACACTGGCCCCACCTCCAACCTGCCTCCTTGCCTATCGGCTCCATCCTTCTCTGACTTAGGCCAAACCTCCCAGTCCTCCTGGGCAATTCCCCTCCTTCCCCCAGGCAGTCTGTCAGGAGAGATTGCTAATTTTGTTTCCAAAACAGAGTGATGGGCTGACAATTTTCCACCACTTGTACCACTGACCATTTTCCACCGCTTCTAGCCACAACTTTGCTCCATGCTACCAGCCACTTCCAGCTAGATGAGTGCATTTGCCTTCTAAATGATCTTCCAGATTCTACCCTTGACTCCTTTAGCCAGCCAGAGTGGTCTCTTTAAAAAAACCAGAGTCAGGTCACATGACACCTCTAATCAAAACCATGGGCATGTCCCCTTCTTACTCAGGGTAAAAGCCCACATGTGGACCCTGCTGGTTACCCCTCTGCTACTCGCCTCTCCCTTCCCAGCTCAGTGTGCAGCAGCCATGCTGGCTCCTCCTGCCCTGCTACCTCTTCTCCCATATCTCCGTATGGAGAATGCCTCAATTCCTTCATGTCGCTGCTTTGTTCAACTGTCACCTCCTCAAGGAAGCTCATCTTATTTAAAGCAATGCCTGCCGTCACTGCTCCCCAGCACCTTGGAGCCCCTTTATCAGGCACTACTTTTTTTTCCCAAAGCACCCATCATCTTCTAACATACCGTACGGGTTCCTTATTTTCTGTTCTTCCTTGCATGGTGAATTGTCTGACTATTCCTGTCTACAGTGCAAACCAGTGAAGGCAGGGGCTTTTGGTTTGCCAACTGATGGATCCCAGGTGCCTCAAACCGTGTCTGACGCATAGGCAGTGAGACTCTAAATGCTGTGAAATGAATGAATGATGGTTCCTGAGAGGGAGGGGCCCCATAGCCTGGGAAAGACGAAGAGAAAAGGTGAGACAGGTTTAGATGTGGGGAATATTCGGAGGAAATTTAGGCTGGGTAAGGTATCTGGGGAGGGGTTTAGGAGTTAAAGATGGCAGGTTACAGGTGAAACGCCCTCATGCATTACACTGAGGCTAACAATGTAGACTCTTTCCAAATAGATCATATCCCTGGGAATATATGTCTTGTGATGACAGTATGACTAAAAATATCTTGGAAGTACCAAAGCAGGATCCAGGGACGCAGGATTTTCTGAAGGATCCCATGGGATTGGGAAGAAAATGCTGGGGCTGCCCATAAGCTGCCAATGCCCTAGAGGCAGAACCACCTAGTGGGAAAGAGCTACCTCTGAGGACATGCAATGCTGCTCAGTTAAGCTGGCGTCCCTCACACTGGCTGCGACATGAGCTCAGGGTCAAGCCAGACTGTGTGTTCAGAGCAAGCCTCTCGAGGCCTCAGAGTTATGGGCCGTGGTAAGTGTGCGTGTGCTGGGTTTGATCTGGCTGTGCCTGTTGGCCATCTCATGGGTCTAAGCATATCTGGGAGACAGGGCTCTCACCTGTCGGTTGTAAGCTATAATTAGACTAACAGAAAGGTCTTGGTTGGAGACTAGGCCCTCCCAGTGACACCAGCAGTAATTTTGGAAAGAATGTCATTTGCTTGGGTGCCACAGTTTCTCCCATTCCACAGTGCTTTACCAGTTTATATAGAGTTTTTAAATAGATGCTCTTATTTGAGCTTCAAAACACACTGCTGTAAATACCACATTCCTCTCACAGATGAAAAAACAGTCTTTGGGCATTTTGGTAACGCTTTGACAGGAAGCAGCAGCAAGACTCAACAAGCTGCCAGTTTTCTGACTTCAGGTCCAGCTTTCTCCTCTCCCAAACCGCCTTCCTGCCTCGGGGGATGTAATGTTTGTTCTTTTTGTTCATAAGCCATCAGTTGTGTGGGAGAGGGGAGAAACTGGCTCCGAAAGAGATGTCGGGTCTCAGGACACCTCCTCTTGCTCTCAGTCACATGCACGGTTGCCACCCTGTCCCCCGACAATCCTTCAGTAGGACTTCAAAGCCACAAATGCCTCAGCCTGGAGCTGTGAGGAGCATCTCGGTGTGGGAGGACACAGGGGCAATGGAACTCTCAGGGTGGCTGATAATTGCTTATTTAGAACGTGGAAAAAAATCCTGTGATTATTTAAGATATCAATTACAGAATGTAAGTTCTGAGTAAGTCATGGCTGATGGCAGTACAACAGGAGGGACAGGTAAGATTTCTATTTGCCAAAAGGTGTTGTGGAGTACAGAGACCAGGAATTCTGGCCTAGCAGGAAGTGAGCTGGCCCCAGGAGGGCTGGGCTGACTCTGAGGCACTGGAAATGTACTTAATCTTTCCATCATCACCTTTAACATCAGCAAATTGGGATGAGAATTCTCACCTGTCAAATTCAAAGGGTAGTTAAGAGTGAAGTCAGAGAAATGCAAAGTGACTTGTAAATAGAAAACCATGATTCCAATGTCAGGAGCTGCTGCATGGGTTCAGGCCCCCTCCCTACCTCCAACAAAGCCCCCTTTTCTGTATAAATTTTATATCCTAGAAAATGTTTTTTTGTTTTTTCTTTTTCTTTTAAAGACATGAATAGTTTGGGAGAAAATGGCAGACTGAGTGATAGGGGCCTTGCCCACTGTGAGAAAAACCCGCAGGACCCCAGGAGCTGCAGAGGCCTCTGCACAGGTGGGCAGCTTGCTGTCACTTTCCTACATTTTCCGGCTGTGGGGCTCTCGGCCCCTCTGCCCAGGTTTTCATGTGGCTCTGCACTGCTGTCTGGAAAGGAAACCTCCCGAGGGCAGAGCCCACCGCTGCCCTGTCTTTCTTGTTTCTCTCCCTGCAGTGTCCCCCAGGGCTGAGCACTGCATAGCACAAGCTCTGAGCACAGAAGCTCTGGCTTTTATGTGCATGAGCGGGAACAGCAACTTGGGGCTCATCCAGCTGCAACACTGGGGGGTCCATTCAGAGAGGGGAGGGGAGACTCAGAGCACGAGTAGGAAGATTGGTTTAAAAAATGATCTGAGGATTTACTGCAAGAAGTTAAAGGAGAGTACACACACACACACACACACACGTGCACACGCATACACACATGCTCACACACATTCAGACATGTACACACACATGCACACATACACACACGCACACACCCATGCTCACACACACTCAGACATGTACCCACATAAACACACATGCACACACACATGATCACACACACTCAGACATGTACACACGCACACATACATACACACACATACACACATGCACACACATACACACATGCTCACATACACATGCTCACACACACTCAGACATGAGTATACACGTACACATGCACATACACACACATGCACACATACGTGGTCACACTGACATGTACGCACATACACACATGCTCACACACAGACATGTACACACATACATGCACACACAGGCATGTACACACATACACACACATGAACACATGCACACTCACACACTCAGACATACACATACACGCACACATACACATGCACACACAGATGTACACACATACACACATGCACACACACTTAGACATGTACACACATACACATACGCATGTGCACACGCGGGACAAAGACAGTTCTCTGAGACACAGGGAGACAGAGGGGCCATGGTGTCTGGAGCTATAGGGTGAGCAGGGTTGGGACACCAGGCTACAGTGGGGGACATATGACAAGTGTAACAACCGCTTTCCAAAGTCCATCTGCTGGAAGTGGAGCAGACAGGGGCTTCTAACCTGGAAGAATCAGGCAGGCAAGATAACATGGTAGTGTAACTCACTGGGAGCAAAAGATGGAGTGGAGGGAGCTGTAAGGGTGCATGGAGGAACTGGGGGTGGTGGCTGGGTAGTTCCAAACATCTTAGATCAAAACTCTAAAGTGTCTGTTCTGTGCTGTTATTCAATGGTTCAGTGCATCAAAGGTCTATGCAAACATTACCAAGTCTCTTAATTAAGGAAAAATAATGACAAAAAAATTAAACAACACATGTTAAAGACTGACCACAAGAGGGCTTGCCTATAGATAAAGAGAGATTTCAACATGCCAGGTAACAGAAAAGACATGTGCAGGAACTGGTAGGAGCTGTAGAGGAGGAGGCACCTCTTGGGAGAAGGAGGCGGCAGGAGGCCTGGCAGAGGCTAGGGTTGTGTCTGAGGCCAGGGAGCCAGAGGCAGGGGTGTGAGAGGTCAGGGGTCGGGGGCAGGGGCGGCAGGTACATGTGGGAGTGAGGCGCTCACATGGGGGCTGCTTTCACAGCAACTAGGAGGAAAGGTCCACCCAGAGAGGCTCTCAGTAGATCACCCACCACCTCTAGAGAAGAGTCCAAACATGACTGGTTGTCCTCTTCTCATTCCTCTTCTAAATGAGCCTCAGGGACCTGGATGCCTGCACGGACTGCTGGTGTTAAATGGAAACAGAGCCCATTTAACCCAAGATCACGGGTGGTCCTGGGACGAGGGTGGGCTACGGCCGATGAAGTAGGCTAAGTCCTAGCCTTAATTCAGGGTGTTCCACTTTGAGGGAGCTCCCTTCTAAGATGCTGTGGGGATGGAAAGGAGAGAGTAGGACAGGCAGTGGCTGGAGGAGAAGGTGGAGGCCAGAAGAGGTTTGGGTCCCTGCCCCAGCAGCTGCCCAGAGGGGTAAACATCCCCTCATGTTCTCACTCCGAAACTCCCAGAGCTGCTTCCTCCTATACAGTGTGAGTCATGCCAGGCTGATTGTCCGGGAGAGAGAAAAGATGCAGCAATCAGAACTTAACAGAAAAGGGGAAGGCCTAATGCGTTCCAAAGTTAAAAAAAAAAAAGATTTTAAAATAAAGCAACAAGGAAAAAAAAGACCTTCAAACCAATTCAAACGAACACATTAAATAAATAAATAAAATTAAGAAGGTGGGGAGAGAAAATAAAATGAAGGAAAAAAAAAAACCGGGGAAAGACAAATGAATGTTAGAGCAGGCACGGACAGTTAGGTACAGACGCCATGTACTTACGTTTACCTCGGTGATTGCTATATCAACAATGCTACCCACAACAATCAAGGCGTCAAATGTATTCCATGCATCACAGAAATAGTGCTGCATGGGGCAGAGAAGCCGAGAAGAGAGAGAGAGAAGAAGGAAAAAAAAAAAAAACCAACAACAAAGGAGAAAAACAAAACAAAAGGGAGGAGGAAAAATGAAAAAAAAAAAAAAGGCATGGAAAAAGGGAGAGAAGAGAAAAAAAAATGAGAAAAGAAAGAGGTTACGTGGGCATATTAAACACTCGTTTACCACTCTACAGTTCTGGCGGCTCAAACCTGGATACCCCGGTTTTCACAGGGTGCAGAGGCCTAACAAAAGCTGGGTTAGTTCAAAGGTGGCGTGGTGCTGCGGCCGCCCGGGGACCAGGTGGTGTGTCCCCTGCGCTCTCTGCTCAGCTCCACGCCCCAGCCCAGCACAGCTGGGCAGAGCTGAGGTAAATGGAAAAAAAGGAGGAGAAGCTCCCACTTTTTTTCCCCACAGGACGACGGCAGGTTCAATAAAAGGCATGACTGGAGGCGGGTAAAAACAGGAAATTAAAAAAATAAATAAAAGAAGGTAAACAGAGAGAGTGAGAGAGAGAAACAGAGGAGGCAGAGGAGGAGGAAGGAGGAGGTTTCCTGGGGAGGGCAGGGTAATACTCACATTAGTCTCACTGAGAATGACGTCAATTATGCTGCCAATTACGATGAGGAAGTCAAAAACATTCCAGGGATCACTAAAGTAACCCTACATAAGGGAGGGCAGGCAGGATGGGGATTAAAAAGGAATATTAGACAGACAAGCACAGAGCAACACCACCATCAGAATCATCGTCCAGGCACCTCCGTGTTGCCTCTGGAGTTCCGGACGCCCTCACCATGGGCCGGGAGCCCAGGAGCCCAGGAGCCCCGGAGGCTGAGCAGGGAGGGAGCAGCAGGGAGGCGACATTCTAACCCTACTGCCAGAGTTCCCTCGGTCACACGGCCAGCGTCCTACAGATCCACCCACCCTACCCCTCCTCCATAGAGGCCCTGTCCACCTTCCGCCAGGGGCAGGGGGAGGTGTGGGGGCGGGGTGGTGCAAGTCGCCAGGGGGCAGGCTGTGGCTACTACACTCTCTTTTCAGTCCACGCTCAGCATGTCCTGCATCCCCAGTCCTCTTCCAGCAGAAAGGCCTATCTAAAGGGAGGGAACACAGGGGTGTCACCCCTCAGAGGGTACTGGGCTCAGTCCTACGGGTGAAGCTGGTGATAAAAAAGCCTTTGAAAACCACAGCCATCAGTGTGGGCCTCAGGGTGGCAGGCTGTATAATATATAAACTCACATAAAACTCAGAAATAAAAGGACCAAATTATTAAAACGGGATCCATATTAAGTGCAACTCTTGCAGATCGAATCAGGGTAACCCTAGTTACTGCACTGGACACATCCCAGCGTTTCCAGGGGCAGTTCCAACCCTGGCAAAGACTTTCCTAAGGGAAAGGAGGCAGAGGCAAGGTTGGGCTCGTAGTCTGTGAGTGGGTATGTAGCTCTAGACAGGGCTTTCTGAGGCTTCCTAAGCAGGAAGTTTCCTTCATGATCGTCTTAAGGTAGGGTCCTGCTGAATACAAAAGGCACCCAGAGGGCGTGCGGTGATCAAAGCCTTTCCTGAGGATGGGTTTGCTAGGAATAGGCTGGTGGGCCGGGGGAGGCTGGTTGCCTAGTAGAGGATGAAGGCAGTAGTGCCCTGATGGAGAGATTCTGGCACAGACAGGGAAGACCAGTGTCCTGACTTCATGATGAGGAAGTCAAAAACATTCCAGGGATCACTAAAGTAACCCTACAGAAGGGAGGGCAAGTAGGATTTTATTTATTTTTCACCATATTTGGAGAAGAGAAGAGATGAATGTTCTTAAAAGAGTTTTTTCATGTACTTGGACAACTGGTCAATCAAGAAATGGGGTGTCCCAGAGGCCCCATGGGACCCCAGGTGTCCTGGATGGGTGAACTCTTTAGCAGATGGATTTCTTGGGTCTGGGAGGTGTAGGAGCCTGCAGAGCAATGTTCTGTGACCGCATACACCCCCAGGTACAAGCAGTCATATTCCCACGGGCAGAGGGGGAAGAATCTACTACTACAGATTTGTCTTCTTTAAGAAGAAACATTTACGCCTTTAGTTTAGAAATGGTCTGCAATGGGGACAAGACAGGGCTGGACACATTTATTTGGCGGGACCAGCATTTTCCTGCCCTCTGGGCTTCCAGGAGGTGGAATTTTAGAGGTCAGAGTGAGGTAGGAAAGCATGAAGCGTCACCTGAGAGGTTCCCAGATCTCTCCTGAGCTTACTTGAAGGCTGCCAACTTTGCCTTTTTTTTACTCACAAAGCCAAGAATCTGCTTTCTTCCCTTTCCTCCTGGCTCTATCCAGCTCCCTTAACTTCCCACTTCCCAGCCATGCCCTCTGTCCAGAGGGACCGAAAGACGTGCTGTCCTAAGGCTGTTATTCTTAGTGAGGGAGGTCAGGTCACGGGGAAAGGGGCCTTTCAGTTCCCAGGCATTTCTGCCAAAAGAAAACAGAAACGCCACTGTGGAGACTCTGGACAGCCAGGACAGCCAGGACTGGGGAAGCAGAGATCAGTTGACCAGGGCGTGGGTGAGGTGAGGGTCAGCTTCAAATCAAGAATGTCTTGTTGGCTTCCCAGGGTATTTTTCTGAATATAGTGGAGCCTGTGAGGCAGAGAGGCTTCTCTCTTCCATTTAAGTCACATGCTATGAGCAGGAAATAACCAATTCCTCCCAGGTTCTCAGAGATCATTCACAGGGCAAAAGGAGAATGGTGATTTTGCGGGGAGGGAAGGAGTGAAGACCCCAAATGAACTATGACTATGCATAAATCTTAAAATTGATTTTGGAAAAGACTGGGCCACTCTCTCGGTATGAATACCATCTTTGTGGGTAGAGCTATTTCAGGAGGGAAGGGCAGGGAAGTCAAGGAAGAGAAGGGAGAAACAAGAACAAGAACAGAATCCGGGAATTGTCTGCATCAGCCTAGAAAACGGGCAAGAAAACATTATTTGGGTGTGGGAGCAGGAGAGAGAGGAAGATATGAGTGTCAGTGCTGAAGAGAGGAGGGTGAGTTGGAATCTTCATCAGAGAGACCTGAAACAAAATGGGTAAGCTGGCCTTGGTCTGCAACACCTCTGAGATGGAGAAAGGAAAAGGAAGAAATGGACAGAGCAGAGCAAAGGTTTGGTGTTGAAAACCAGAGAAACACACACGGTTAATCAGCAGGCGCACCAAGGTGAAGGGCTGAGACCTTAAGGAGCCCTGTCAGCCACCTGGCTATGCACCCCTGGTCACCCTTTTCCCGGATTTCTTTGCATATATACGTGCATACAGAAGGAAAGCACAAGACAGGCAACTCTTTCTTGACCACAGCCCCCTCTGCCCACGGCTGCACGCCGGCTCCCACTGGATTGGCACTGGCTGGGCTCTGTTGGAGTTAAGGCCTGGTGCCTCACACTTGCCCTCAGCAGGCTATGCTACTGCAGGCTTTAGACTGACATCTCTCTTTGGTGGCACACTACCTGGGGGGCTGCAGAAACCAACCAGGTCCCTTGTTGCCAAGAGCTCCTGTGCACACAGCCCTGGGGTATTTACACAGAGCTGAATGCAGTGGGTGAGGGCACACGTCTAGGGGGCAAACAGGGTCCCTTTAAGAAGGCAGCTCTTCACCCTGACCCATCCTCTCACCCTCCTGCCCTTGGTGCCCGGAGCCCCTCAGTCCTCCAGCTGGGCCTGAAGACAGTTTCAGGGCCAGCTTTCAGGCCTCTGTCCCCATTGTCCCTTTGTGCCCTCCTCCCACTATTTCAACAGCCCCCTCCTCCCAGCTAGACCACACCTTGCCCAGAAACAAGGCCCAGGTCCTCCTTGCTGGTCCCCACGTCCCCAGGTGGTTGGGTCCCAGGAGGAATATTTTTCCCAACAGTCTCTGGAGTGGAAGGGTTCGACACTCGGTCTCATCTCTCTTCTGTCTGTTGTTGCCCACTCCCTCAGTTGCTGGAAACCACTGGCAATAGGGGTTTTAAGGATGTAATGGAGAAGGGAGGTTGGGGGAAAATCATATACTTCTTACAAAATCAGTCTGACCTGGAGCCTGGTTATATCTGCTGCCCCTTATTTCTCTGATGACTGCGCCCCAAATGGTTGAGAAGTAAGGGGTGGGAGAAAGGGTTTTCCTGGCTCTCTTTGAAGTGGCAAACCAAACCTCTTACTGTCCAGCTCCTCAGAGCCACCCAGGGCGCGCTCCCTGGAAGGGAAAGTGTTTTTGCAGGTGGGAGACTTGCCCTCGCCATCCCCCAGTCCTACAGGTTGAGTGGATTCCCCACTTCCAACTCCCCACTCTGGGTATGTGTTCAGAAGATGGGCCTCCCCTCCAGCCAACCCAGGGCAGGTCCCGTGTGCACCCCAGGCTCCCAGTACCCAGGCCTGAGTGCCACAGCACCTCCACTCACTGACAGGCATGGGCTGAGAAAATGGACACCAAATTGGTATTGACATCAGGAAATCATTGCTGGGAAGGAACAAGTGCTGCAGAAGCATCATAGGATGCATTTCACATGGACAGGAATTTTGGATTTTCTTCCATTTTGGTTATCCATGCCCTGATTTGGCTCCATCATTGGAGATATACCACATTGAAAAAGGCAGCATAGTGGTTAAAAGCATGATCTCTGGAGGCAGATCTGGGTTCAAACACCACCTCTGCCACTGACTAGCTGGATAGCCTTGAGCAAATAACTTCCCCATGCCACTGTTTCCCCACTTAGAACATGGGATAAAGCACAGAGTTGAAATGAGGATGAAAGGAGACCATGTATCCAAAGCACTTAGAACCTGCCATCTTTTCTGCTCCCACCCACAAAGCACGTGTGTCCTGGCCTCTCATTGCTTTCTTCTGGTCCCAGATACTGTGTCTTAACTGTGGGGCCACGGTCCAGTGATACTTCCTGGACTATCAAATGCCTACTTCCCAGGTCCTCTCCTTTTTGGAGACAAGACAGGCTCATCTCCCAATAGGAAGAGGGATGAGATGACTACCTATGCAGGAGACTGTGGGCCTCTTGCCAACTGGAGGCGCACTTCCCAAGCCCTCTGTTTGCAGTCGTTAAAACCAAAAAGTAACCAGAGTCCAGTGTCCAGAGGCCTCCACCGAATTACAGCTTCAAATGCAATTTCAAGAATCTCATCATCACTGCTGTCATCTTTATCTTAGCTGGCTGGAGACTGAGCTTTCTGGAAGGGAGGTAATCATAATCTGATTATAATCCAAACAAGCACCAGCCCCATGTCCTCACATAGGGTTAATATGAGGACAAATACTTAGAAAAGTATGTTGAAAAAATCCAAAAGATGTCTATTCTTTATACTCCTCAGAAATAGGTGTTCTGGATGTGTGAACGTTCCAGATAGAGGATGCCTGACCCTCTGATGACCAAAATCCTTGAATTTTTACCTTTTAAAAAAGATGTTCATTTTAAAGACAGCTGTTGCCCCAGCCGGAGTGCAGTGGTGTGATCATGGCTCACTGTGGTCTCAAACCCCTCAGCCTCCCAAGTACTATGCCCTCCAATTGTTTAATTTTTTTGTACAGATGGGAACTTGCTATGTTGCCCAGGCTGGTCTGGAACTCCTGGCCTCAAGTGATCCTCCTGTCTCCACCCTCCGGAGTGTCAGGATTATGGCATGAGCCACCACGTGCAACTGGCCA